ACCATTTATGTAATAGGGTAATATCGCAACCATTTATGTAATAGGGTAATATCGCAACCATTTATGCAATTGGATGATATCGCAACCATTTATGTAAAAGGGTAATATCGCAACCATTTATGTAATAGGATAATATCGCAACCATTTATGCAATTGGATGATATCGCAACCATTTATGCAATTGGATGATATCGCAACCATTTATGTAATAGGGTAATCTCGCAGCCATTTATGTAATAGGGTAATATCGCAACCATTTATGTAATAGGATGATATCGCAACCATTTATGTAATAGAGTAATATCGCAACTATTTATGTAATAGGATAATATCGCACCATTTATGTAATAGGATGATATCGCAACCATTTATGCAATTGGATGATATCGCAACCATTTGGGTAAAAGGGTAATATCGCAACCATTTATGTAATAGGATGATATCGCAACCATTTACGTAATAGAGTAATATCGCAACCATTTATGAAAAAGGGTAATATCGCAACCATTTATGTAATAGGATGATATCGCAACCATTTATGTATTAGAGTAATATCGCAACCATTTATGTAATAGGGGAATATCGCATCCATTGATGTTATAGAGTAATATCGCAACCATTTATGTAATAGAATAATATCGCAACTATTTATGCAATTGGATGATATCGCAACCATTTATGTAAAAGGGTAATATCGCAACCATTTATGTAATAGGATGATATCGCAACCATTTATGTAATAGAGTAATATCGCAACCATTTATGTAATAGGGTAATATCGCACCATTTATGTAATAGGATGATATCGCAACCATTTATGCAATTGGATGATATCGCAACCATTTTTGTAAAAGGGTAATATCGCAACCATTTATGTAATAGGATGATATCGCAACCATATGTAATAGAGTAATATCGCAACCATTTATGTAATAGGGTAATATCGCACCATTTATGTAATAGGATGATATTGCAACCATTTATGTAACAGAATTATATCGTACCATTTATGTAATAGGGTAATTACGCAACCATTTATGTAATAGAATAATATCGCAACCATTTATGTAATAGAATAATATCGTACCATTTATGCAACAGGATAATAACGCAACCATTTATGCAACAGGATAATATCTCAACCATTTATGTAATAGGGTAATATCGAAACCATTTACGTAATAGGGTTATATCGCAACCATTTATTTAATAAGGTAATATCGCAACCATTTATGTACACGTAACAGGATTAAAGCGCAACCATTTATGTAATAGGATAATGTCGCAACCATTTATGTAATAGGATGTTATCCAAATGCGCTCTTACTTACATACTTATCATTCATATTTTATTTACTTGTTTGTTTAGCGCACATCATTAACACTTGTCAGTATTATTTATAATGTACATGTATCCACAAATATAACAAGAAAATGCAGCAAAGCTGCTGGACACCAAACTTTTTTTTAAGAAAACGACTTACTGACAGTCCATCAAACACGAGGGAACAGATCCTGCATACTTGAATCTATTTATTCATAATTACATAAATTGTTAATGGCATTATTTTGTCGTTCAGAATATTCCGTTCACGCTCAATATCCTTACATTCTGCACTTTTGTCACTTAATAATCGTCCCACAGAACGCAAATGTACAGTTTCAACTGCACGTTAAATGTCAAAGATTTGGTAATAACGCCATCTTCTGAAAGAGAGAAGCCGGGACAAGAAGATAATTTACCAAAAATATCTTTTATACCTTTGGTCAAAATTGCAGCGATTTTTGCAAATATTTCTTTTGACAATGTACCTATTTGACTATTTTGGATAAAACATCAACCGTCTTCTAGGTTAAAGCGTCAATCGTAGACCCCGCCCCTTTGAATAATAGTTGTTATTCTCGAGACGAAGACATATCTTGCCACAACGTTGTTCTTTTGGCTGTTATCACATTCGTTTTATACAAATGAAATAAATATATCGTATTAATCGGGAAAACCATGAAATTTTCTATTTTTTACATTTTTTCACGTCATGAGACGCAAATATTGCTTCATCAGAAAAGCGCGGGAATCGGGAATGTGTAACGTAGTTTTTGAAGCCAGGTTATAATGACGTCACGCTTGACAACAATACAGAGCGCCATTTTAAATGGGTTTTCATTGCAATTTTGCCGTTTGCTAGTTTTATCTGGTAAGATTTCCAGACAAAATGATATCAATTGTGTAGATTTGTAAAAACAATAATGTATGCTGCAAAGTTTGAGAACACAACCACTTATTCTGCCATCACTTCATCTAAACTTGAAACTGAAAATTCTACGCAGAGAATATAACGTACCGTTCAGATTGGACAATACTAAGAGTGACATTTTTACTTGCGAATATATAATATTTCGTTTATCTTCACTGCATTAAACATATGTGTTTATCAGATGGAGAATTCATGATATTTCACTAGAAAACTACTAAATACCGATACCGTAAGGTTTACCATCATATTTTTTGCAGACAGTATGCGGCCTCAATTTCCCAGAAGGCTTTCACGCATGGGGAAGCACCGGAAGTGGACAAAGTGTTTACAGATCAAACCCCGACGGCGCTTCGCGCCGCTTAGGGGTTTGAAAAAGGAGTATTTTTAATTTCCTTATCTCTATAAGCTGATGCAAAATCAATAATAGCTATGCATCCAGCACTGTAGTACTGTGCGATATTATCTTTTCCACTCTTTGTTGGACTGCATATCATACACAAAAATGATTACTGTAGAATATCTGCTTCTGCAGTAGTCTCGTTCAACCAGACGCTTGTAGCTTGCGCAGACAACAAGGGTCTGGTTGAACGGGACTACTTCTGAAGTGGAGGTTATATATGAACCTCGTTTTAGTCAGTATCAGTCGGATCCATATTAGTCGATGTCTTGATTAAATTGATAACATGACATAAATATGCTATAACATTAAAGACGACGCAAACATTATACAATATAAATTCAATTAAAGAATGAATTGCATCTCTTTTAAAATTTATGATCATATTAAATGATGCTCGGAGTCATCGAATTGCGAGGATGATGGGACGGTATCTTACAATTGCGTAAATGTTTTACCAAAGTCTCTACCGTATGTTTCACGAATTATATGTTTCGTTATTTAGCAAGTTGAATGCGAATTCATATATATCGCTACTGTTTGGTCAGCTATACTTATACAAAAGTGCAATTAAATAATAACTATCCCCTGTAATATTTTAACTGCAATACAAACGGGAAGATACATGTAGGTTAAATAATCTTCAAATACACATTACGAGATATAAAACAAATAGCTTTTTTGATTTAAGCTAGTTTCATAGGATGAACGAATAGTTCACAGGCTAACACTGTTCTTTTTCTTGTTCAGATTAAATGGAGGGAAGAATCTTAATGTATATACATGGAGGTTTATTCTCCAGTCTACTTATAGAGCATATTGGATTTTCGGAGTTAATTGGTATTGTCTATATCCTTTTCTACAATATTTTGCTGACATTTTAATGAAACATCCTTGCTTCACGTTGAAAAATACTTTTCAAAAGTTTAGCGCGTCTAAATATTGAATATTAAATAGCCACATATTAAATATATTCAATAGCCACTCCGAATTTTAAATACACATCACACATTTTGTTTTCGTTTCATTCATACGTCAGAGTTACTCCCCATTGTACCAACAGTGCTCCTCAAATCTTGAGATCAAAGACAGTACTTCATTTTCAAATGTCGTTTTATTAAGTGATATTTTTCCTCGTTCCTTCTTGCAACTCTGTTTAAAATGATATAAATCTACAATTATATATAACATTAATGTAAAACTGTAATGTATACCCCGTTTGTAACCAATGCGCCAATATGTTACCTAGTTCGCCTATGATTTACTTTTGCTGCGCAGCTGTGATTTTTAAGACATGTTTTTTTCTTTAGAATATACCAATGTAGGTCATGCTTTTGAAGCAGACATTGACAACTGGTCTTTATAAACAGGTGGTAAAATATTCACAGGTTTTAATTCACTCACACTGATATTTTATTTAAGAATACATAAGTTAAAAAATACAATAAAACATATACCACTTTGCTAACTGCCTCAAAAAATACACAATATTACCTATCTCTAGGGCACAACTTGATGAAATAGCCATCTGTAAAATAACTATTTAGAAATTCACACTCACTGACTTTAAATTAATGTAATCACCAAATCAGATGTACTATGTTATCCTTACATACTAATATTATTTGTAACAACTTTCACAGAATAAGAATAAGCCTGACAGTATACATATCATACCCCGCATTTTAAAGCATTTCCCAATTTTGATAGTATGGTATTTTTACATGTATATTGACGAATACCATTATTGACCAATAAGAATTAATCCCACTTTAATATGAAGTATATATATTATCGCTTTCTTGTTTATGGTTTGTCAATTATTTTTGTTTCGTCGTTAGCAGTAGGTGTTTAACAGTAAGTCATAATTCATAATACGGAATGGTCACCATCAAAACATGTCTGGTCACTCGGCTATTTAAATTGATATTTTTTTCTTACAAATTATAGATGAAGTCCTATGCTTGAAACAAGATATCAATGTATGTGAATAGCTGAAATAATATCCACCTGACTGTCTTGTTCAGATAGCTTGTCTAATAATGTAATAATATACAGCATTTGATATAGCGCCCTATCTAGCTAACAATAGCCACTTTAAAGCCCTTTACAATACATATATATACAAGTAAAACAATTAGCATATACAATAATCAATACAATTTTGAGGAATTCGCAGGTGCTGCCTTATCATGCGCTAACTGCTAGTCATATGCCACCTGGCTTATATCTCCTTATGTGTGTATGCCTGCGTGTGTGCTGGACATGGTCGAAATTTCAATTTCTTTTAATCATGGATCTTTCCTTATTTTGATCATCGGACTCATATTCGGTTAATAGGTCTCACGGTTTTAATCCGATTGTATTGAAACATCATCAGCGTGAAAGATCGATACAACTAATTTTAGCCGATTTATAATTATCTCTTGTGTATTAAGAACATTGTAATTTTCAGTATTAATATGATTTTGATGAAACGCCGATGGCATCATCAACAATATAAGATATGATCTGGACGAAGATGTTGTAGAATGTGCTGAATACATTACTCACATCCTATTGGACTTATTTATTGGAATGCTGATTTAAAGTCCTCCTTAATTTTCGAAATGAACACTGCTGTTCTATACCGATGTAACTGTATTGGTTTGAACACAGTTAATCAGTTTGATAGCCGAAGAGGTATGCTGCTATTACGCAGGTCGATTTCATTTCTTAATGGAGGATATCCAACTAAGCTGTATAGATCATTACAGCCCTGGTTGATCACGTCCACAGTTGATAGGTTTATTTTTGTTCTCCATGCCGTAGCGATTTGTAAAGATGTTCTCTTACCACTTGACATTTGCGCATCGTTCGTTGTCATGCCAGTTATTTTGTTCAAGCGGAAGCTTTCTTTCTCGTCGAAATCATATCCAGCGAAATCGTACATCGTTCGAACTGTTTCCAGTGGATTTGTCACAAGGTCTTCATAAAAGACAGTCAGTACTTTTCCTGGGAAGACCTTTCTTATGATGTCGGAGTTGAGGTAGTCTTCCTTCATTTTCTTACACAACGATAACGAGACGCCTGGTGCGGTGGCCCACTTTAAACTGTGTCTTGAATTCATGATAGCCCTCGGATCTCTTAAGAGGTGAATAATTTTCAGATTAGGTTCTGAGTGTAACAACTGTGCCGCGAGACTCACACTAAGACGGGGAACCTTGCTAACTCGTGCGATGGAGTTAGAACACTGGCTCACACACTTCTCAACACAGCCTTCCACCTCACCATGGCATTCCGGGAAATACTCCATCCACATTGGATTTTTCAGGTCATCGTCATACCCCCTCCCTTTGAGCACCTGCCACATTTGCAAAGAATGCAGCAAATACATTTTATCACAATGGTATATTCCTCGTAAAACGTCTAGGACAAGTCGATCCGTTCCGTTATATTTGCTGTGCACAAAAGAAATAAACAAATATGTTTTAAAGTAAACAAGAAACAATATGCAAGTCACTCAATAAACCCTATGAAGGAGAATATCTTAACTACAAAACCGACAAAACAAAAGGAAAACATCATGAAAGGATGTCAGAGATACTTTATATATAGTACAGGTCGTCTTGATAGTAGAAATCATAATGACTCTGGCTTCAAAGGACTGTTACACAGAGGGCCGTTTTTGGGCCCTTTCATTTTCACATTTCTGTTGTTCAAATTATGAATCAATACCTTGCCCATATATACTTTTAACTGCTGAAGTGACAGTTTAGCTCGAAGTGTCTTTATAGGGTCTGACTAAGATATTTGCAACACGAAAACAAATCTCATGATCAAACTATCTAACTCGTCTTCTATTATTTCAATGCGCGAAATGAAATATTTCTAATTGAAAGGTACAGACGAATGGCTTCATTAAAATAGCAATTGATAAATCAGTTCAATATATTGAAAAAGCATGGTTATTTTCAATATTTTCAGAACATTTTATTTATCCACATTTTGAAACAAATTTGGGTCAAACTTCAACTGTAGATATTCTTCTTACGCTCTATATAGTCAATGTATTGATTAATCAATTGCACAAAAAACTCAATAGGCCCAAAATCAGCTTCAAAGACACAAATCATTTTAGTCTTTTTAAAAATATGCAGTATTGCGATTGATATTTTTCATAATTTCCTTATCCACAATGCGTCCTTTATAAATGTTTGTCAGTAGTCAAACATATATAGCAGATTTGACCACGAGTGTTATCCATTCTATTTGTGAACGAAATACGTCATTAATATACAATGAAATAAAATATCAAAAATATCCTTCCTTATTTAAGAAATTGTGATTTTTTTTTATTTAGTTGATAACCCTGTTTTATAGTCTTGTAAAAGTTGATAACCCTGTTATATCGTCTTGTAAAAGTTGATAACCCTGTTTTATAGTCTTGTAAAAGTTGATAACCCTGTTTTATAGTCTTGTAAAAGTTGATAACCCTTTTATATCGTCTTGCAAAAGTTGATAACCCTGTTTTATAGTCTTTTAAAGTGGATAACCCTATTATATCGTCTTGTAAAAGTTGATAACCCTGTTATATAGTCTTGTAAAAGTTGACAACCAAGCTATATTGTTATGTAAAAGTTAATATCCCTGTTATATTGTCTTGTAAAAGTTGATAACCATGTTATATAGTCTTGCAAAAGTTGACAACCAAGCTATATAGTCTTGTAAAAGTTAATATCCCTGTTATATTGTCTTGTAAAAAATGATAGCCCTGCTATATTGTCTTGTAAAAGTTGACAACCAATCTATATAGTCTTGTAAAAGTTAATATCCCTGTTATATAGTCTTGTAAAAGTTGATAACTCTGATATATAGTCTTGTAAAAGTTGACAACCAAGCTATATAGTCTTGTAAAAGTTAATATCCCTGTTATATAGTCATGTAAAAGTTGATAACCCTGTTATATAGTCTTCTTAAGTAATAGCCTTATTATATTGTATTTTGAAGAAACAACCTATTAATGGTTTGTTAAAAAAAATCTCTATAATAAAGTATTGTTAAAGTATTAACACAGTTGCATAGTCTTAATTGACAAACCTATTTTATAGACTTGTTAAAGCTTCAGCCCTTAAGAAAATATCTCATTATGTACGTTGTTAAATAAATGCACATTTTTACGGGTATATATATATCAAGCCTCTATCTTGTCTGTGGATATATGATGCCTTTTGCATTTTCCACATACTTTGAAGTCTAAGTTGCCTTTGTAAACGTATACGTACTTGCAACGTTCGTCGTTCATACTGCAGTGATAGCCTGGCTTGAAATACCCCCATGTACTCAAATTGTGAAACGGTTCGTATATATAGAAGTTTCCTTGTCGCAGTCCAAGGATTTTCCCTGCAAATGTGGTTCCCCCTCGTAGGTAGCCAACCAATAGCACGTCATAATTTTGCTTAATCGGAATAGGTAGAGGTGAAGGTAATTTGTACGATCTGTAATGCAAAAATAGAAGATATTTTACAGTGTATGCATGTTCATATGTATGCATGTACATGTCTCCCTTCTTCAGCTTAGTAAACTCTGACTGCGTATTAATTAGAGTATACGCAATGAAAAAAGGCTTTGCGGATTGATACCTGTTTCAAATATGGCGCCGTGCACGCTTCAGCGAGATAACTATTCGATGACAGCCATTGTTTGGTTCCTTCAACATCTAGAAACATGGACATATTTGGGATCCATTATGTTTGATTATGCAACGATAGGATGCTGGCAAACCTCTTATTCAATGGATGGACATTCAAAATCCTTTGACGGTAAAGAGAACAATGGCGGCTTTCTTTTGCAACGTTCGACCGCGTCATTACCAGAGCAGTGTGCCAATGCGTGTACACAACGACCTTTTTAAATGAAAAAAATATGTTCGAAGTCCTACTCATATAACTTAATTAAAAATTCAAAAGCAATGAATAGAAGAAACATAGTAACCAACCACTGCGTATTATCTAAATTTACCCATATATCGATGTTCACTGGAACTATATTATCATAACAACCACAGCTACCGTAGCTACCATCGTAGCAACCCGCTTCGAATGTTCTTTTCTTTGTATAGCATTAGAATATTATTTATGATGTAAAATAAAGATTGACATGCATTTCGACGGCGTATACGGTAGTATGCACGCAGTTGACAACGAACATATCCTTTATGGGGCGCTAACGCGCACCATAGAATATGTTCGTTGCCAACTGTGTTCATACTACTGTTCGTGTAAATTGTGTCTATAAAATAAAATAGCACATGGCTAGTTCCATCTCACAACATTACTTCATATAGGTTAAGTTATTAGTATTTTAAAAGGTTTATTTTGACTTATGCACCATTGAATGTAGGTCTGAGTGATTGCGCAGCAAGTTCTATGCCAAATGAACTTTAGCTTAAGTGTACGTAAGATGATGTCGTTCCTTAGCCTTAGTTTACTTAAGGAGATGTCGTTCCTTAGCCTTAGCGTACTAAAGGAGATGACGTTCCTTAGCCTTAGTGTACTTAAGGAGATGTCGTTCGTTAACCTTAGTTTTCTTTAGGAGGTGTCGTTCCTTTGACTTTGTGCACTTAATGAGATGTCGTTCCTTAGACTTAGTGTACTTAAGGAGATGTCGTTCCTTAACCTTAGTTTACTAAACGAGATGTCGTTCCTTAGCCATGGGGTACTTAACGAGATGTCGTTCCTTAGCCTTAGTGTACTTAAGGAGATGTCGTTCCTTAACCTTAGTGTACTTAACGAATGTCGTTCCTTAGCCTTATTTTTCTTTAGGAGGTGTCGTTCCTTAGACTTAGTGCACTTAAGGAGATGTCGTTCCTTAACCTTTGTGTACTTAAGGAGATGACGTTCCTTAACCTTAGTGTACTTAACGAGATGTCGTTCCTTAACCTTAGTTTTCTTTAGAAGATGTCGTTCCTTAGCCTTAGTTATCTTTAGGAGGTGTCGTTCCTTAGCCTAAGCTATCTTTAGGAGGTGTCGTTCCTTAGACTTAGTGCACTTAAGGAGATGTCGTTCCTTAACCTTAGTGTACTTAACGAGATGTTGTTCCTTAGCCTTAGCTATCTTTAGGAGATGTCGTTCCTTAACCTTAATGTACTAAAGGAGATGTCGTTCCTTAACCTTAGTTTTCTTTAGGAGGTGTCGTTCCTTAACCTTTGTGTACTTAAGGAGATGTCGTTCCTTAGCCTTAGTGTACTTAACGAGATGTCGTTCCTTAGCCTTAGTTTTCTTTAGGAGGTGTCGTTCCTTAGACTTAGTGTACTTAAGGAGATGTCGTTCCTGAACCTTTGTATACTTAAGGAGGTGTCGTTCTTTAACCTTAGTTTACTTAAGGAGATGTCGTTCCTTAGCCATGGTGTACTTAAGGAGATGTCGTTAAAACTAAACGAATTTAACACATTTGACCACTGTAGCTATGTATAATTATTTATTGATTACGTGTGTGCCACTGTGTATTGCTTACAAAGACGTTAACAGACGCACTACCATCGGAAATCGAACCCCGTGCTATCACAAAGAAATCAAATCTTGCACTGTCTTTTGAAAGGGATACAGCTGTCGTTCTGATTTACAATCGATCGGCTGTAATCCTAATTTAATTTTTCTCTTAATAGGAATCAAGCGGTCATGTTCTAGATTTTAGGAACATTAATCTGATAAAAAGGTGCTTTACGCAGAACCAGTTTCAACAGCAAAGAACGTTATCTTTTAAAATTACATCTGTTTTGGCTAAGTTATTGTGTAAATATTAAGCAGCGAAAGTTGTCCCAAGTAAACACACCACATGTTCCGCTTGATGAGTCAATACTAGTTTGTGTAGTTGGCGTTTATGTGAGTTGGTTTTGAGTCTAGCCTGAAGTTTATGACGTGTATACATGTGTCAGCCAACATTGAAATGAGAACGTTAGATAAATGTATTAATTGACGAGTTTTGTATCGTATTCACGGGAAGGTAACGCCGATATGGAATTGATAAAACGATGCTTCGTATAACTTTAATATAGTCAATATAAAGAAAGCTAAATATGTATAAATCAGATTTTTTTTTCTTTTACATATGGAAATTTCTGATAGTATTGAAGAAATAATTGTTGAAATATGTTTGGATTTTATCATTTATTTGTGTGAAAAGATAATGTTTGAACGACGATCTTTTGTTCCCCATTAAACTTCAATATAAGCTAGCCTATTGCTACCTGTGACAATTGAATAACAAAGTCGTATACTTATAGAACAGTTCGGTTCATATTTTCTCAAGATTTACTCGTGGACATTTTCAGACAACTTTAGGATGACAATTTTGCTTTTATATGTATCCCTCTTATCTGCAGCACTCTCGAAACAGCTGTGTAGTATAGATATTGGATCGAAACGTATGTCGTAATGTTTGTAAATGTTTACAAACACCAACTGTAACCAAACATGAGTCACTATGTCACTTTTAACTAGTCTAATACGTGGTACATAACCATAGGATAGTTTTCATTAAGATTTGAATAAAGCGTAAACGATCCAACGTTCTTTACAAAACGCTTTGGTGACTATAATGTAATACATTGTAACAAAACATATTGTTGACCACAATTTCGTACACTGTAACAAAACACATTGGTGACTATAATGTAATACGTTGTAACAAAACAAATTGGTGACTATGATGTAATACATTGTAACAAAACACATTGGTGACTATAATGTAAACATTGTAACAAAACACATTGGTGACTATAATGTAATACATTGTAACAAAACAAATTGGTGACTATGATGTAATACATTGTAACAAAACACATTGGTGACTATAATGTAAAACATTGTAACAAAACATATTGGTGACCATGATGTGGTTACTATATAGCGGGGTTTTTTTCGTTTTTTCTTTTTAAAGTTTTTCAAAAGTACATTAAACATAACACATTATATTTTAGTCACACATTCTCAATTTTCTCACAATTGTTTTGTTTGCTTTGACATTTTTAACATTTTCATAATTATTATATCAAACTATTTTCATATACTTCCTAACTCTATATAAGTTTGAAACAAGACACATTGAATACTATAACATGCATTGTAGTTGAGAAACAATACAAAAACAAACAACAACAAACAAACAGTAGCAGTTGTTTGCTTGACATTGTCAGTTACAACTAGGCAACTGGAGACCCAGAAACGTTGCCATAGTTGTATTGATTGATAAGCAGTTTTCAGTATTCAATAATTCAATCATAAATAGCGCATATATGTTGAAGGCTGTTCGAAGGTTGAATGGCTATTTAACAAACAGGAAATAAAGTATTGTTTCAGGCTGTCAAAGTTAACACTCATAATATTAATAAGGTGTTTTCACAGGGATCCATTATTATTTATTAATCTCTAATTATTATCCAAAACATGGGTCGATAAAATTTGGGTTATTTTTTACCTCAACAAATCTGGAAGAATACGTCTCAAGTCATAAAGAATTGGAAGACTTCGATAATTAATTATTCGTTGAGGAATTAATGTTTTAACGTTTATTTTCCTTCAACCTTTTATAAATCATTCGTTAAAAGTGTAATTCTAGGGAAATTTAATAATCTCTTTACGCCGATAAAAAAAAGACGCTTAGACCGAAATGGCACAGCTCAAAGTGACACAGTGGTGTAACAGATGCTATACTATTGTCGTACAGTCTCATGATGCCGAGGAGTTATTGTTTTCTGTATGATACCAAAAACTCTTGAAACGCTTTGTGGTGAAACAAGAAGACCAATAAGTTACTATTGTATTTTAATAAATTGATCGTATATGTACTCTACGGTAACATGATACGATAGAAAACAAATAGGCTCTATGCTGTTTTTTTGAATTACATTGTTATTTATAATAAAATCATAATACAAATGCAATACATATATATGGTATTTGAGAGTGAAATAATACGGAACTAAAAGAATGTGAACTGACCTGTGTGTGTTGGTCTCGTAGCAGAAGCCATTTAATCCGACCAGCCAGGTAACTGAAACAAGAACGGTCAGTACTACAACAATGAAAACTAACATCTTCTGTAACATCGCGAACGGCTTAAACTGACGTCCAGGTGGATTTGTATGCTAGTATCACACTGTGATGTCAAAATCAATGATTTATCAAGACATTTGCTTGTATCACACGTGTCTGTACGGGTGAGTGTTTTACTTTAAACAAATATGTCAATCAATATATATCAACTTTTTACGACTCCGTATAGCCCTCTTACCAACATATGTGATATCATACACGTGTATGTTTGTTGTATTTTTTTATGTAATTTTTTTAAAACTACTTAACAAATACATCAAAATGATAGGATTTTATTTTATTTTTATTGTTGAGGCGTTAAGTTAAAGTAATAATGAAAAGAAGGAGACAAACATTACTCAACATCAAAGACAACACCCTAAAAGCTATACTAAATGAATACCCGTAGGCTACAACAAGTACTTTCAGGGTTCAGCCCCGCCCCTTAGGTCTTAGTACAGATTTGTAACATTGAAATATATGCATTCGATATTCCAACCATACAACCAAAATTATGCTTACATGGCATCAATAATTAAACACAATCATAGATGCACCCTTGGGTCTAGCCCCATTTTTAAATATATATTTGCCTAGAATGGCTGTTAATGAAAACGTTTTATCAGGATTGGTTCAATAGCACAGCGATCTTCTTTTTGTTAGCAAAAACATATGAAAAGGCAATAAAGGAAATAAGTTATTTCAGACAAGCTCTGAATGATCACCCCAATGTAAGCACATATTAGTGATGACCAAATATGCAAAAAGCTTAGCCATCCTAAATGCAGACTGTAATTCTTTAAATGCCTCTGTCCTGTTAAGGCTTAAACTGGCCAGACACTCGATCACTGTGACAGAGGTGGACAAATGTTTCAACAATGAATAACACTTCAATTCCATCCTACTTTAGTATAAGTATATGGTTACTTGATGGTAATATTACCCTTTCTGCCTATATATATATCATTTTAGAATAAATAAGATCCACTTGTTGTTACTGAAAAGGGCAATATTATATATTTTATGTTTCGGTTAGCTTGTACTACTACTACTACTAATAATAATAATAATAATAATAATAATAATAATAATAATGATAAAAATACATAACAAAAATCATAGATCTTTTCACCAGTTAACCCTTTCACCACTGTAGATCATAATGGATTCATCCCACAAATGCATAGAAGAGTCCACTAAAGTTACCTAGGAGTGAAAGGGTTAATGAAGCGTCCTTATAACGCCAGGGGATAATGTATCATATCTTATGCTATTTTAGAGCATCACTTGAACTCTATATGAGCAAAACGAAGCAGTGCCACAGGTGATGGAGGTGGTGATGAGTCTTAATAGAAAGTAGATAGCGAGGGTAGATGTATTGGTAGAGCACCGAGAGTAGCAGAAAGTAGTAGATAAACCACTGGTGCCATGCTAAAGGAAGCTTTGAGGCCACATTCAACAAAAAGCGACAACATTGGCTTTGGTGAGGCGCTTAACACAGTTCACTGTATAACCCTAAAACTTGCAAATGACCGGAGAGCTGTCCATCTACATACAGTGTACATGTATATAACTGAAAACAATTCATTTAGAAGCAGTAAACTTTGATTCGTTATCAAGCGCCCGAAAGTAATTGCCTTGTTATTCAATTGTTCTAGATCTGACAGTATATGTAACGATTTGTACAATTATGGCTTGTATTGTAGAGATTTCAGTGCAATGTTCTCCTTAACAAAGTGTTGAGCAAGTAGATGCACTTTAGACCCTGTATTCCAAAACACAAGAAAATGTGTTTTTAAGGAAAAAGGCATTGTGGGATAAATATGAAATTTTCACAGATTAAATAACTTTATATAACTAATATCTATACTTAGTTTAATGCTTATCCCAAAAGCGCATACACATTGGAAATAGGCAGAACAATTGATAAGACAACGAAACGGGTTAACTTTAACGATTAAAACAGAAATTTCCTTGCGGCAAGAAGAGTAAAATTACTTATTGTAGTAGCGGTGGCAAATGCCATTTTTTTGTAAGTTAACCTTGATAAGTAGGAAAACAAGAGGAAATTATGGACATTCCTCCAATACATACAAACATCAAGCAGGCTGTATCCGATTTATCTCCCTTTACTTGTCAAATTACAACTAGTTTCTGCTTACTTCCTGACAAAGTGACCCCCTGACCTGAATTGCTTAAAAGAACGTTTTGATGAATAGTACATACGTCAAGAATATATCATTAACATTGTTTAATACTTTTAAAAATATTCAAACTCTATTTTTTTTTACAATAATTGTAAAAGAACTTATTACAACTTTGAATAAATCACTCTTGTTGGCCCGGATGTTAGCATGCTGTTAAGGGGGTGGGGGTCTTAATAGGGGAGGAAAATGAAGTACCCGGATCGTCTACTGGATAACCGAACTACTCGATAGTGAAGCGGACGTAAAACCATATCAATCAATCAATCAAAGAACCCGGATAATGTGAGTTTTTTTGTATTAACGAAAAGATCTGGTACGAAAGTTTCATTCCCATCTCTTCATTTTGGGACAAAGTATCGATATTCTATGAAATGTGTAATACAATATATGTTGGAGTTAAGTAAGAATTCGTGGGCAAAAACTACATTGACAAGATAGGCAGTGGTTATGTTTTTGATTAGTGAACTGAAATTGCACACGTAGTAAACGAATAAAGAAACTTTGCATATTACAATATTCGCGAGGAAAAAAAAATCTGTAAAGGATATATCACTTTTCAAATGTGTATGGTAATTTATGCCATAACACTGGTGTGCTCCTAACGAAAAAAAGACAGTACAAAAATACAGTTTATAATGTATTCGACCTGGTCTCGTGTCTGCACAGCATGTTTGGAGCTGGTAACGCATCGACCACTTGTAACAATCGTAACATTTGGGCCAATTCCGTAAAGGCTCAGAAACCATGACGGAATTAGCCGATATGTTACGACATGATTGGTAATAATAATTATAACATACAGCATTTGATATAGTGCCATATTTAGCTTACATAAACCACTATAAAGCGCTATACAGTACATAGATATACAACTAATACAATTAGCATATACATTAATCAATACATTTTTGAAGAATACGCAGGAGCTGCCTTATTAGTCGCTAACTACTAGTCCTATGCCATCTTGCTAATATCTCCCTATGTGTGTATGCCTGCGTGTGTGCTGGAGATGTAATGTGTTCTGTTTGTAGTCGTCCGGACCGTGCTTCCAAAGGCATCATTTATAGCGCCACATGGCTTGAATGCTAAGCACAAATACCCAAACACCCACCCCAGACCAGTTTATACTCCACCTGGGTTGTTGGAGTTGTGTGGGCAGGAGAAAAACACTTTCTCTAAATATCCATGAGAACGACGACTTCGGGGGTCGAACCCCGGCGGATTGCGTGGAAGGCCGGAGTGTTAACCACTCGACCAATCCGCCTATTGGTAGATCTACTGTGATATGCGGAGGTCAAGTTTAATTTGGGAGGATGAGGTAGCTGGTACATGTACAGTATATAGGCATGAAACTTTCGAAGTGTACCTTCGTTATCTAAAATGAAGAGTGCGTGAATCCAGGTTTCTTTTCGCTTTGTACCAAATTACCTAACTGTTCTCAATTTGTTTATTTCTTCTGCAGACTTTGTAAGTCGTCAGAACAAGCTAGAAAGATCATTTTAGGGCTTGAGTATCACTGAGGGAACACTATAACATATATATATATATCACAAATAAAACCGACGAGATGGCGAACGCATCCACGTTATGTGTGCCTTACACTGACTAACCGTAGGAGTACGTTCAGCCACTATACTTGTGCTAGTATCCCGAAATATATCTACTACTTTGTCGGCGTAAAGCAAGAATATGTGTCTCTTAAAAGAAGTAAGTACGATTGTTTTGAAAATGAACGGATTTGAGGAAAGTGTGGACAGATACGAGGTCGTCGTGCATTCTCTAATTACCCAACCCCAAGGTGGCAACAACAAACACCCATAGGCTGTTCACAACGCACCGGCCTGTACCAGTGACTGTTTAATCATTAATAATAATTTCAAACAACATTTTACAACAATTTGTCATGTATATTTTATCCTTCATATCTACAATGTATCTCCTAGACATTTACCACTATTTTTTCAGAAAAATAAAAATGTTCTATACCTCCGTCCCGACCAGTGCGTTGACCTGAACTGAGGTCCCAGCAACACTTGCTGCACGTGCTACATATGCATTACAGGTGTCGCCACCTATCGGGGTACCATTAGAGAAAACAATTTCGCGCTAATTCCTTGTAGTCAACCGCGCGAAATATAAATTATCTTGTGTCAGAAGGAATCGTTTTGTTTGCCCTATGACCTCGCCCTCCTGAAACATGATTAATTTGGGTTAAGAAATATTCGTGAGGAACTTATTATGATTCCCTATCAAAAGGATAATATTTATCTTATCAAACCATCATTGAAAAAATATAACAGCAGTAAAAATGAACTGACTTCCGCGCCATAAATTATTGTCGTCTGCTTCAGTCACGCGAGCCTCTTGCTCATTTCGAATAAGTGAAATATGATCGGGAAAACACGAGCACGTGAGAAGAACATGTGTTTTTGTTTTTATGAAACGAAGCAACACATTATTTTTAGAAAGGAAATAAAAATTATAAAAAACTCGAAACTTTATTTCAATCAATATAGTAAAAACTGTGTAGAGCAGGCCTTACTGTAAACTATGGCATGCCATAGCATTACACACATATGATGTATTTAAATGTTTTCATTGGTTATCGAATAAGTTCACAAGTTCAAACAACAAAATTATATACGCCATTGACCCAACTGAACGTCTGATTAATACCTATTTCTGCAACATGATACTTCTCTTCTGTTTTTTAAAGATGTTTCGAGTACAAAGGTTTTACAAATGCCTTCAT